AGTAATGTATAATAAATAAGAATATTGACTAATTTATTGTTAGAGAAATATAAGGTAAGTTATATGATATAATGTTATTGTACAATATTGTTAGAGAAATATAAGGAAAGATAAAAAAAAAATGTTAGTATAATGAAAGGGTCCAAACAACTTTTTTAAGTAGATTTATTTAGACTCCTTCTCTTTTAATAGTATAGATTTAATTTTAAATATATTTAAAATAATTAATGTTATTAACTAATAAATATTTTTTTTGTCAACAAGTAGTAAAATTAAATAATATTAAATTTCTAAATATCTTGTTCTTTAAAAATAAAAATTGTTATATAAAGTTTTTCATCAGTAGTATGAAAGTTTGCAAATTGTTATCTAAATAATAAACATAAGGTGATTGGTTGGGTTTTCAGTGCTGATCTAAATAATAAACATAAGGTGATTGGTTGGGTTTTCAGTGCTGATTTAATTTTTATCTACAGCACTTAAATCATCAATTATGATTTATCTTATTTTTTAAAGCTAGAGCCAAAACCTAAAAAAATTGGTTGTAAAATCCTTATTTTCTTAAGCCACATCTTTTTTTCTGTAGAACATATGTTATTGTAGCAATAAATTTTAAAGTTACATCTTTTACAGATAAATTAAAAAGTTCTACAGACTAATTTCTACACTTAAAATTTTACAGCTACAATCAAACCAATCATCCCCAATTTTCACTTTAGATTTAGAAACCCAAATATATAAGAACTAGGATAAGATATGCGCCTTACGCAAGATAAATTTATATTAAAATGATTTAAAAGTATTATATGAAAAAATAAATCTATATTCTTGATTAAATTTTTACTAATTACATAATTTGTTTACTGATGAGCTGATCTCATTTTTTAAAATGTTTTAGGTCAAAATATCACTTACCGCAAAGAACCTAATGTTTAGGTCAAAAAATCTCTGGTTTATTTGGTTAAAATGAAATTATGTCAGCTCGATTTTATATCATGATTTAGCAATTTAAAAATTAATTATGGTTATGATAAAATTACGGTCACGTGTCAATCCTAACCAACTTCAATATTTTTCTCTTTTTATGTCTTTTTCATTCTGGTTATTGCTCGATATAGATATTGATTTTGAAGTTTATTCTCATTTCGTTTATTTCTTTGGCCTAAGATTTAGATAATGCTTAAGATTTAAAATAATTAAAGAGATAAATATTTAGGTTAAGATCTACACTTTTTGCAGATAAGTATTTTATATTGATTATTTATTATTTATTTTATGTTTTTTTGCATATTATGAAATAATAAAATAATAAGTATATATATTAAATAACTAAGAAATCAATTGTTATTATGTAATAAATTGACATGTGCATATAAATCTAACGATCACTCTTGTTTATTTGCAATTATGATAAATAAATCAAAACAATCAATCTTATCTATTGTATATGATATATAACTAAATTTAAATGATATTAACATAGATATATAGCACACTTTTAATATGTATACTAGATTTTGACCCGTCCTTATAGAGGACGGGACAACCATTTTTGCTTTAAATTATTGCCTTTGTTAGATTATTCACAAGTATGCAAAGGCATGAGTATCCGGGCTCGGATAGATGGTCAATAAGATTTATGGTTTAATCCGACATATATAGATTAAATTCTTTCCTTAAATTCCGTAAACATAAGTATTTGTGATTTGCGAATTTTATAAATCTATGCCCGCTAGGATGTAATATGTCGCCGAAATGTTGCGGTCCAAGTTAAATGGTATAACTGAAGATCCTCGGTTTCCCAAGTTTGTGTTTGTGCTTATTTTGTAAGATCATTGAGTAAAGACCGGTTGGTGTTGTTTACTAAAACTACAGTAACTTAATGTTGGCGGGTTGGTGGGTTTAGGGTTTTTTAGTGGTTTTTAATTAGTGAATATTTCTTCATACTCATAACGGATAATTTAGCGGATCACCGAAATTGCAAATCCAACCACGGATCTGGTTGGATGTAAAAACTTATGGAAACCAAGGTGAACTCAAAATTTTATCAGATTCGAATATTGTTATTTGAACTAAATCAAAAACTAAAATAATCAAATCAAAAGGTATCCATATTCATAAATAACCAAATGGTTTTTATAGGCTTTGAACAAAAAAAAAATGAAAACACAACTGAACCAGAATCAAACAAAAAAACATGAAATGAATCAAAAACTGAATTGCCTAAACATATTAGTGAGCAAACAAACAGGTTAATTAATTTATCAACAAAAAAAAAATCTCGCACTTTAAAAGCGCGGAACAAAATCTAGGTATAAATATAAAATTTGAACCTGAAGCCCAAACTGAACCCAAACAAAAAAAAAACAATCGGTATCCGGTCCAAAAGTAAGAAATATCAGAATGAATTTTGTAGAATAGTACAAAACATATCCGAATCTGAAGCGTTATTAGCTAAACCTAAACGTATAGCTTGAAAAAAATTGAAAACCCAAAAAACCGATTCGAAAATCCAAATTAATCACAACTATAAATATTTAAAACATAAATATGTGCTTCAAATATTCAGTTTTATATTTATTTGAAACAATATCATAAAAAACTTTAAATTTGAAATAAATACCTTAAATATCTAATTCAATATAGATAAGTATTTATTTCTTATGCTTTGCTTTTAATTTTGGATTTAACTTCAGATATATGAACCGAACCAATACAATCTAAATACGAACGATATATCGTCACTTATGGGTTTTAAGATGTGATACAAATTAGAACCACAACAGATGAATTATATCCAAACTCGTTTGTATTTACAAATTTACCAATATGAGATCTATGATGTGATATAAATTAGGACCAGAATTCAAAGTATCCAACCCGTATCTCAACGGATACCTGAACTTCCAAGCCTAATTAAAGTGTTGGAATAAACCATTAAATTATACTCATAAGAATATTAAAAAATATATATCTGTTTTTATCAAATTTTCATGATTTGATTTAATATATAATGATAATAATGTTTACACATAATAGTTTTTCCTGCAATTTAAAATGGGTTTTGTAAATTTTGATTAAATGTATTTTTTATTTTTTTTATCTACTAAAATGCGTAACGTGAGAAATTATAAGTTGGACTAAACATTCCGATAACCAAAAGATATCATTTGGATCGATTTGTTGCATTTGAATTAGAAAATAAAAATAAATTAGGTTTTTTTTTGTTTTGATTTGGTTATCGGATTGTTTAGTCCAAAATGATCCAGAATATTTGACCAACGTAAGGTCAATCAAAATTTGGAGGATTTAAATGCGTCGATGATATTTGAGGAATAAAAATGTTGCCTTGCTGTTGCATTTAAAAGAAAATTAGAAAAATACAAAATTTAATAAAATCATAGATTAAAAATATTTTAGTTGCAGAATCTTGTAAATATTATTGAAA